GTTGCCTCGACTTCAGCCTTCTCCAGGTCACGATTTTGCCATGAGTTCAAGCCTGGCTCTGGGCACGATGGCTCAGAGCCTGGAGCCTGCTTCCCATTCTGTGTCTCCCTCTGCCCTCCCCGTTCATGCTGTGTCTCTCTCTGTCTCAAAAATAAATAAACATTAAAAAAAAAATTAAAAAAAAAAAAAAGAGGAAATTTGGACACAGCCACATAGAGAGGGAAGGTGATGTGAGGACACACGGAGAAGATGACTATCTACAAACCAAGGAGAGGCCAGAAGCAACCACCCCTGTCCACACAGTGATCTTGGACTTCCAGCCTCCAGAGCCGTGAGAAAATAAACGTCTTGTTCAAGACACCCAGCCTGTGGTACTTTAATTGCGACGCCCAGCAAACTATCACGTGACCCACAAGGCTTGCCTCTGCCCCTGACCCCTGCTCTGATGAAATCTACTTTCTACACCTCAGGCAAGGCCGCTCTCCCGTCAAAAAAAAAAAAAGAGGAAATTTGGACACAGCCACATAGAGAGGGAAGGTGATGTGAGGACACACGGAGAAGATGACTGTCTACAAGCCAAGGAGAGAGGCCTCAGAAGCAACCACCCCTGTCCACACAGTGATCTTGGACTTCCAGCCTCCAGAGCCGTGAGAAAATAAACGTCTTGTTCAAGACACCCAGCCTGTGGTACTTTGTTACGACCGCCCCAGCAAACTAATACGGTGACCTAGGAAGAGCTTGCCCTCTGCCCCCTGACCCCTGCTCTGATGAAATCTACTTTCTACACCTCCAGGCAAGGCCGCTCTCCCGTCACAGCACTCTGGGCTTTTCGAGACCTGGACCCTCCAGACACAGCAGCTTCCAACCACATCAGATCCCTCCTCTCCCCTCAACACGCCCTGTGCTCTCCACTTCCTGCATTCTTGGTACTGTTCCCTGCACCTGAGTGCTCCCTTTTCCGTGTCTATTTCTTCAGAGCCAATCCCCTCACAAGGTCTGGCTCGAACACCACAAAGTGCTCACAGCACACCTCCCGCAGGGTTCAGCCTCAGGTCTTCACTCTAGGAGCGTGCTCTCCTGCCTCCGTCATGGCAGCAGAAGTCACCTAATTACAACTGTTCCACATTGGTCTCTCTTGAGCTCCTAGAGACGTGCCAGGAGATCCCTGTGAGCCCAGCACACCCTGACCAGAGCAGGCATTTGGGAACGTGGGAAGGGGAAGGTGGGCGGGCCAGAGAAGACCCCAGGCGAGAGCGGCTCCCCACTTACTTCCAGGGTTCGAACGTGCGCCAGCAGCTGTGGCAGCCTCTGAATCTCGTTCTCACTGATGTCAAGGGTACGTAGGCTTCGAAGTTCCCCCACGGTGTCGGGAAGCTCCCTCAGCTTGTTATCTGCAGAGACCCCAACGGCACAGCTCGACCCCCCCCCCCCCCCCCCCCGCCAAAGCCCCTTCACCAGCTTCCTGCCTGACACGAGTCCTGCCAGGACTTGAGGGGAAGTGGGTGCCTCACTCTGAGCCTGGGGCACGTGCCGGGTCCCGAGACCTGAGGCTCTGTGAGGAAGAGCAGCATGGTGGAGTTTCGGTGACCTGGGTTCAAGTTCTTACTCTGCCACTTACTAGCTGAGCGCCTTTGGAAAACGGACTGTACTTCCTTGGGCCAGTTTTCTCATCTGTAAAATGGGGATAATAATGCTATCTGGCCTCAAGGGACATCAAAGGGTTCAATGCAACTATGCATATGCAGCCCTCAGCACAGTGCCCACCCCATAGTAAGTGATCAATAAACACGGCGTCATTATATCATTCGTATGTTACAAAATGAGTAAACTGAGGTGTTTTGTGCAGAAAGTGCTTAAGGACCACAAGAGGACATGAGGAGCCAAGGGCACGGGAGGAAGCACGGTGCGTGTGACTCTGGGCTCTGTTGCTAACACACGGGGTGGTCTTGAGCAAGTCGCTGCTCTCAGCCTTGGTTGGGGAGCACACCTCCCTGTCAGGGACTCGCGAGGCTTGCCGCACCGCTGACTGTGGAAGCAGTCTTCCCTGTGCGTCGGGCCCTGTCAGAAGCGTTACTGCGGCTCCTGGATGCTCTCCCCCACCAGGCCGCCACTCCTACTGCTCCTCGTTATTACAAACACGAGTGCCCAGGTCCCGGGAGCCTGGCTGGCAAGACGGTCTGCCCTCCTTGCTGTAAGGCCCTGGCCCTGAAGGGTCACAGGAGCTCTGCAGATGCCCCGCCTCTAGTTACCTCTAGGGACAACAAGGGTCAGTCCAGCTTAAAGGGACGCCTCAGGACTGGCTGCCCTCATGCTCAGTGGTTCCCAGGAGGAGTGATCTGTGGATGCCGGGCCGAAGACAGCCTAGAGCTGACTGGGAATCACACAGACAGGGCTTCCTGGCCCCTACCTTTCACGTTGAGGGTCTGGAGCTGGATCAGGTTCCCAATGGAACGTGGCAGATATGTCAGTTGATTCCTTTCCACGTTCAATACCTAAGAAATAGGGACAAATGACATGAGAACCCACATACGAATAGTGTCTACCCCTGCTTTAGGCCAGGCATCACCTGGGCACCACACACACCTTTATCTCCTCCTGACAGCCTCATGAGGAAAGCATAAACTGTCAGGATCCCCTTTGAGAGATGAGAAAACTGAGGCTCACACTGATGAAGTCACGTGCCGGAGAGAGCAAAGCCAGACCTTGAGCCGCTGCTTGCTGAGGTTCCGTCCCTTATGCAGGCCACAGAATGCCCAACAACGGACCCGCGATCAAGCAAGGAGGAAGAAGGGGACTAGCGGGTTTGGGGATCTGGGGGAGGCAGCAGTGACAAGGCTCTAGTTCCCCGAGTGTTGGGGGAACGAAGCTGAGATGTGTAAAGGCAGCAGAATCTGCCCGGGGCCTCAAGGCTAGCAGCTGGCGGTGGCCCGCCCAGAACGCAGGCTTGTTGGATCCAGCAGGCCACGCTCCCTCCCGGATGCGGCACTGCGGGGCGAGCCAGGCCAACAGGGTGACAGGCTACGGACTCATTAAACATTGACACAATGGAAAGCTAAGCAGCCGTTACAGATAACGTGGCAGATAAATATTTGATGAACCAAAGGATGGCTCTGGGTTATTGTCAGGTGTCCGCAAGTTACAAGGCAATGATGCACCGATTCTATAAGAATGTACACGTTAAAAAAAAGTCCCCAAAGATCCTCCACCCAGGTATTCACCGTGGCTTTCCAAGGGGTGCCAATCACTACTTCCCCACCACGTGTTCTCTGTGTGCCGTTGGGCAAGTGACCTCAGCTTTCTCCTCCGGAAAATGCAACGGCATCACCCAGGGGTTGCTCACTCACTTCATTTCCTGGTCTCCTGCATGTTGGAGGCAGTGTGCTAGCTGGGGTGCTGCCCTCAGAGGACTGTGACTCAGTCAAGTCAGCAAACACTTGATTCGTAACTATGGACTGTCCTTATGCTCCCAGGGAAGTAAGCCAGTGTAGGACCGAGGCCGATAAGGTAGATCTACTTTGACAGGGAGGTCGGGGAGGCTTCTCAGGGACACGTGGGCTGAGAGATGATGAGTCGCTCAGGCCGAGGGAAGAGGAGAGGTCTGCGTGGACAGGCCCTGCCACAGTGGGGTGAGAGGCCAGGAGGGGTTCAGGAGCTGACTGCCGAGAGCGACGGGGACAGGAGAGGAGGCTGGAAAGCAGGTGGGCCCGTCATACAGGGTCTGAAGGGGCTCAGTGAAGAGAATGGGTTTTAATCTCAGTGTGGAGGAAAGCCGCTTCTTTCCCTGTAAAGTGGGGCTAATACCAGCACCTGCCTCGCAGCAAGGCTGTGAGGAAACATATCAGAGATGACACGAGGGAAATGCTTAGCTTGCAGTGGGCTACGACTGACCAGGACCACAGTGAGAGGCTGAGGCAGAGCGCCGGATCCATCATTTCCTGTAAGTCATGGGGGCTTAGAGGAAATCCCCAAAGCACAGGCCAAAAGTATGGTATAGAGACTCCCACATTTCGGACTGCCAAGGCCAGGGCGTCCAAGGTTCCTCACGGGAAAGGGGCAGAGGCAGCTAGCACCAAGGGCAGCCCCGGGCCTGAGCACAAGGAGAACTCTCCAGGCTTGTTCGACTGCAACTTTTCTCTTAGGCCATCAGAGGCGGGTTCTGTGCATCCTGCAGCCATACCTGGAGGGCGGTCAGCTGCCCTATATCGTCGGGAAGAGCGGACAGCTGATTATCATGAAGATCCAGAACCTGCGGAGGGAAGACAAGCTTAAGCCCTCAGTCACCAACCGAGAAAGCCCGCAGATTTCGGGCTCTGGAGCGAGAAGATGCCGGGGGTCTCTTCTTGCCTCTGGTGTCGGAACAGAAGGCTCCAACTCTTCCTCTCCAACTAAAGGATAGTGTATTCCATCTCTGCTCCGTTTCCAAAATATTATACCATCTCTTTCATCAGAAATTCATTAAAAAAAATTTTTTTTAATGTTTATTTCTGAGACAGAGAGAGACAGAGCATGAGTGGGGGAGGGGCAGAGAGAGAGTGGGAGACACAGAATCTGAAGCGGGCTTCAGGCTCCGAGCTGTCAGTACAGAGCCTGACGCGGGGCTCGAACTCCCAAACCGTGAGATCATGACCTGAGCTGAAGTCGGTCGTTCAACCGACTGAGCCACCTAGGTGCCCCATCAGATGTTCATTTTTAACTGTTGAGCGAAAACAGTATGCTATAGAACAGTATGCGTAAGTATTCACGTTACAAAGGAAAACTCCCCACGGTATAATTATATTATTTATGTAGAAAAAGACTACCAAATATGCAATAAAATATTGATAGCGTTCTCTGGAGTGTGGAATTATATACGTTTTTCCTCATTTTCTTTGTTTAACTGTACTTGTTAATTTTTTTAACAACAAAAATGAGCAAACAAAGCACAGGCCACACACTGGAGTAGGTACATGTGTTTCATACACATATGTATGAAATAGAAACATACGTATTAAATATACATCTGAAATACATATAAAATGTTACTTGTTTTACGACAAAAATCATGAATGTTGGGCCAGAATAACAAAGAGAAGTAAAAACTACCCCAACTCCTATAAACCAGAAATAACCACGAAAAACACTTTCATGCCTGATGCTGCCATCTTCTCTTCTTATTGTGTGTCCCCACTGTCATAGCTCATGTTCGTGTGCAATAATCCTGAGGCCATAGGTCACATCGCATGTGAATACATCCCAGTCCCTGTTCTGGAGAGGCTGACAGTTAGGAGGGGGTCAGCCTAGACACAGGGCTTTCACACACTGACCACATGATGCCTGGAGCCCCTCCGGGGCCTTCTCTTTTGGGCTCATCAGTTTCCAAGCCCTCTGTGAGTTCACCCGCTCTGAGTTTACAGTTTGCCTTTCTACCCATCCAGCAGGCTCCCCAAAGGCAGGGCTGGTTATCTTTGCAACCCCACCCCATGCACAGTGCGTAGAAGGTGCCCAATAAGTTGTGCTGATCCCACCCGAGCCTGACTGTTAAGTTAGGCCTGCATAACCTATAACAAAGGGAGCTTGGCTGCCACCTGGAGCACCAGGCAGAGCCCGTGACACGGGGGACAAGGGCCCCTGTACCTTGATGGTTGTGAGACTCAGGAGGCTGCAAGATTTAGGGAGCAGGTAAGTGAGGTGATTCGTGTGGACAATCAACACCTGTTTGGAAAAGATTTGTGGCGTGTTAGCCTGAGGATGAGCAGCGAGCAGGGGCGGCCAGCTCGGCGCGGGAGGTATGGCAGAACCCGCCTGCCTCTGCTCTCCCGCACACTGCGACGGGGGATGTGCTTCAGAATCATGGAACCTGCAAATGCAGAATCACATGACCTGAAAACCTGTAACTTCGAGGGTGAAGGGGATCTCAGAGGCCTCATTCTACCTTCCACCCTGAGGAGGGTCCCTGTGCAGCTGTCCTTCCTTGATCTGAACCTTCCTTGGCGTCAGCATCTTCATGTAGGAAACAGAATAATAAAGTAGCTGCCTCCAAGGGCTGGCGTATGATTAAGAAACTAACAGACAAAAAGCACTAAGCCCAGGACTGGCCTGGGGTCTGGGGCTCAATTCGTGTCATCTGTTGCTTTTTCTATTCGGCACCGACCCTTGCACAGAAATGTCCAGTGTCAAGGAGCTCACTCCTGTGTTGGTATGGAACACTTTTTTTTTACTCTTAGCTGTCTACATGCAAAGTTATTGCCTTTCTGAAAATCATTCATTCCGTTCTTAATTTCTTCTGAGTGACCAGCACGAAATGAGTGTAGTTTTCATTATGATTTACAACGAGGTCACCCAGTGTTTACTGTGGCAGGCATCATGCCCAGTGCATTTGCCTTTCTACCTGCCCACCTCCCTACCTGCCACTCAATTCTCACAATACTGTTTCGAGAGTAGAGCTGGGAGTGTCTTCATTTCACAGATGAAGAAACAGATGTAAGAGTTGGTGGAAGTTGCGCAACTCATGAGAGGGGCAAAGCCAGGACGTGACCCAGGACCATGTGACCCCAAAGCCTGCTCTTCTAACTGTGCAAACACCTGCATCAGGCTGAAAGGGTGAGAATCAGGGAGAATGGAGATGCCTGTGCCAAGAAGGCAGCTCCTAAAAATCCCACCCAATTTGAAACCAACAAACATGCATGAACGAGTCTCTGAAAATGAGGATTCAGCTCACCTTTTTCTGTAGAACTTTGCATGTTGCAAAAGCCCCAAATGGAATCTAAGATGGGAGAAAGAAGAGTCAGTGCCTCCCCTCGAGCCAGTTTTTGTTTTCTGAGGAGCACACATGTGAGGGGGTGATGGGGCAGGAGGTGATCAAGTGCAAAGTCCTCCCATGGAGGGCAGCACTAAGCCGGGAGGGTGGTGGGGCACGCTGGTGAGGAATGTCGCTGGGGACATGGTCAGCCGTCCCTTATAATCAGCTGGCAGGAGACTGCCCTGCCCGGCCCTGGCCCACACACCATCTCCACCATGAGCTCTATTTGGGCAAAAGAAAGATCTCTGGTGCTGGGCACCAGCTGGAGAGGCTGGGGAACCCCAGAATCTCCCAGTTCCCTGGAAATCTGTGTGTACATTTTCTTTTTTTTGATTAAAAAAACATTTTTTTTTTCAGAGAGAGCACATGCAAGTAGCGAAGAGCAGAGGGAGAGGGAGAGAGAGAATCTTAAGCAGGCTCCGTGCTTAGCACTGAGCCCGACATAGGGCTCGATCCCATGACCCTGGGATCATGACCTGAGCCGAAATCAAGAGTCAGACACTCAACTGACTGAGCCACCCAGGCACCCCTGTGGGTACATCTTTTAGACTCCTTGATTCTAGGAAGACTATGCTGAGGCCAACAATCATCTTAATTATTCTGAACAAAAGCAGAATCTAAGGAAACTTCTCTTGATTAATGCTTCTGGCCTTTTAAAAGCCCCAGTCCACATCTGTCTCTCTCAGGGACATGTGATCCAAGAAAAAAAGGACAGATCAAATTCACACTAGCCCCAGTTTACCTCTGAGAGCTCACATTTAGAGATGTCAAGAATGTCATCTGCCCCAGCTTCTTTTGCCTGAGGGTGAAAAGAATGATAGAAAGTGTTCAAACAAAACACCCTTGCAGGGTGGACAGACCAGGCAAAGAAACACAGGATTAAGGACCTATAAGAGACCACGGACACCATCTGGTTCACCTAGTCCATTTTGCGGGTGCGCCAACGATCCCTGCTTTAATGGGGCTTGAGGTCCAGCAGGGAGGAGCGAACGAACATGGAATGACAACAGGGATCAGTCTTGGGAGGGAAGCACAAGGCACTCCTGAGCACCTGACAGGCAGCCTTGTGGGTCTGCTTTGAGTCAGAGATTTCCTCTGCGGGTTGGGGAGGCAGGCAGGAGGGAGGGAGTGCACGGCTTGTTTGGGGATAGCGTAGAACCCTGTTTCATGAGGGCAGAGGTAGAAATGGACTCAGAGGAAACCCAGTTTCCCTCACCAGGCACATCTGATACTCCAGGCGTTTCCGAGCCTCTTCGCTGGGTTTCCGCTTCCGGAAGAAGAGAGGCATTCTTCCTTTCCCCCCGGAGTAATCTTCACGACTCTAGGGCACAGGAGAGAAATTAGGGCCTGGGGAATTTGTGACACATCCAGGACAGGCAGCCACAGGAACGCAGAACACGTAGCTGATCTGCTGGACCGTATGATCCTTGAGGGCAGGGGCTATGTTCATCTTGACCATCAATCTGTGCCGTGAGCCCGGCACAATAGGTCTTTCTAAAGATGCTCTTTGAGAACTCCTAGCAGATGGGACTGATGAATCACTTCTAGTTCCTGAAACACTATAAGAGTGGCAAACCAAACACGCAAGGGATTGGCCAGCCATGACCTTGGGGATTGCAACCACACGATAGGCAAAGAGATCTCTTAGCAAAATAACAACCCAAAAGCAATCCTTAGACACCTTACCACCCTCATGGCTATTACTCCATGAGCGTCTCACCACAGCCCAGGTTAAGGTAATGAAACTGGCACGTGAGCTCAGTGATCTGGTTATACCGCCTGGATTGTAGAGAAACCAGTCTGGAATTCTGCTCTTTGGAGTCCTGATACTGTGGGGTTTGCCCAACTCCTTCATGCTCACACTACCTTGGCACACACTAAGTACGTTGTCCTGAACTCAGAAGCTAGGTGTTTACTGCCTGCCCTGTATCTGCAAATATCAGTGCTTGATAAGGGACATCAATGAGCCAGGAACAATGTTGTTACTACTAATAATGTTACCAATACCAGGTTCTGTGAGGACCCAGTGTTTTCATGTATGTGAAACCCGTAGCACATTACCAGTGTTCAATAAATGTCAGCCACAGAGCACTATACATCTCACAAACGTTGATTCAGCGCCTACCACAGCTTAAGGAACTAGGGAGAAGATGCAGTTGAAGAAGAAACACACCCAGTCCTCAAGGGGAAGGGCAGAGATCACAGGTCTCCGCCCACAGGGGCGTGGGCAGTCCGGGGAGCCGGCCAACCTGCAGAGCTGGCTCAGGCCCCTCTTGTCACCTACTTGCCAGCAGTGATGGGGATAATCTAAACACAGCCCTCCCCCAGCTCTCCTTGATGACAAGCTCTTACCCTTACCCTGCTCCCCAAGGACTAATCCTCTCTCACCTCTCCCCAAAATTCAGCCCTCCCCCGACCTGCCCCACAGTGGCCATCCCCTCTCCATCCCTCCCATAAGATCAGCTCTTCCCAACCTGCTCCTCGATGTCCACCTCTCATCCATTCCTTACCCGGACGTCCAGCCCAGTGGGAAGAACCACACCCATCCTCCCCAGGCTGGAGTGGGGAGAGCCCCACCTGGCTTTGTGGGTGCACAAGTCCCCAGTGCTCGTTCCCTCGGGTGGACCTGAAGGTGGGCAGGTCACTCGTAAGGCTTGGTCATGGACGTCGGGTCTCAAGAGCACTGGGCACCGGGCCCGGGCGGAGCGGGAGTCTGGTATCCTCCAAACGCAGGAGCTTGGGACCAAAACAAAACTCTGAATCTCAGAAAGTCATTCAGACCAGGATGACGAAGTCAGACTCTGAAAACCGTATAATCTTGGAATTAAGAGTTGGGCGAGATTTAGACTCGAATCAAGTTGTTTTGATAACCAAAATGCACACATCACGAGGGAGCTAAAAGTGGGCTCGGGGTCCCCATGACCCTAGGGTCTAGGAATGGGGATGCGGACACCTTAGGGGAGGGGCGGGGCTTTGCAACTGGGCGACAGGAACCACAGGGTGACCCTCACCATTAGGGAGAATAGAGAACAGCGGGGCCCGAGAGCAGCCCTCTCTTGTTGCCTCCCCCAGGGGAACCTCCCGAACCCCTCCTTCCGAACCCTTAGCCACAACTCACCGCGGAGTAGGGTTCTCCAGCCCGTCAGCTCAGCCTCAGGAAACTGCCCATAAGCAACATGGCGGCAAGGACGTCGCTGGGAGGCTGGGCGGAGCTTAGCGGTTCTCGCGAGAGTCGTGCTTTCCGACCAATATCCGGCGCAGTCAGAGAACCTTCCGGTCTTTTGGCTTTCGGCTCGGAGGAGGCGACGGTGCAACGCCCTTCGGTCGTCCCGAATCCGGGTTCATCCGACACCAACCGCCTCCACCATGCCGCCTAAGTTCGACCCCAACGAGATCAAAGTCGGTGCGTGCTTTAGATGTGGCTCGGGCTGCGAAATGGAGCATCCCTCCTCCCGGCAGCCCGTCGGCCCCGCTGCCCCAGCAGCCGTTGCCGTTTTCACGTCGGGCTTTAAAAGTGCTGCCTGCTAGAGGCCTTTCCAGTGCTGCGTTCAGGGTGCTGTGAGGTCCTGGTCGAGTCTCTTAACGCTTTCTGGGCCTCAGCTTCCCCTCGTGTAAATGGGGAGGGAGGACCGGACGACCTGTGGTGGCTTTGCAGCCCGCACGCCTTAGGGTAAGGTTTGTGTCCGGGCGCTTCTCCCCTCCACTGGGTTGGCCGCCCTAGTGCGGGCCTCGGTAGCCGGAGCTGAACCGAAGGCCCCAGTCCCACGTGGCGCTCGGAGCGGTCCACGCCAGGGAGGAGGCGGCTCGCCCGCTGGGGGGTTGGGAGGCCTTCCTCGCTCCCTGCTGAGGCCCTTGGTGCTGTTCCGAGAAGAGACAAGCAGTGTGGCCAGCCCCGGAAGGATGGGGGGAGAAGGCTGGGACCCGGGGGCTCCCTGTGCAGCGCCGCTGCTCTTTTTTTTCTACAGTATACCTGAGGTGCACCGGTGGTGAGGTCGGTGCCACGTCTGCCCTGGCCCCCAAGATCGGCCCGCTGGGTCTGGTAAGTCATCCTCGTGGAGGCCTGTTTCTTGTCGAAGGAAAGCAGTTCAGGTCGGGCTTGTGCAAACGAGACCGGATCTGAGGTGCCTTTGACGTTGACGAGTTGGCAACCCCTCTGAGCCACTGGCTTGGAAGTACTCCCATAGCAGGGTGATCTAGGAAGCGGGAACAGGCTACTTCGAAGCTGTAATTTTTACTCTCCAGTGGCTCTTAACTGCTGCCTTTACTGTACCTGAGGGATGGGCCAGGGATCTGTGAGGGCTTAGAGTAGGTTGGTGACACTGGGCTGCCTCCTTAGCCTGTGTTTGCTAGTCAGGGAAATGGGCAGATCACTGATGGGATTAAATATCGGTTGGGAGGATTAAGTGGGCTGTGGGTTAAGATCCTGGTGAATTGTACGTAGTAGCCTGCATGACCTGTTCATTAATGTGAGCAGCTTTACCGACGACTGCCCTATTTACCTACTTGTTTATTTTTATGCTTTTTCTGAGCTTGCATTTCCCTGAGTATCGTTAGGCCTTTATTTCTTGGACATTGGTCTCCTGACCCAAACGTGTTTCTCACGTGGTCTTGCTTAACCAGTGTCTTACTACTTTTTCTTGGTTTTCGGTTTAGCTGGCACCCACTGGATAGCTTTCCTGTTGAGGCTGGTGGTCATTAGGAAATCTTAAGTAGCAAATGCCCAGACCCCATTCCTGCAGATTGACTTGGATTGGTCTGACACCAGGAATCTTTAAAACCGTTCACGTGATTTGAATGTAACCAGTGTCGAAAATCCCTACGTTAGACCATGTGGGTCCTTATGGGTGGGTAGGTATGTAGGTAGGTAAGGGACTTTGCCTTCCTAACAACCCTGGGTCTGCAGCTGACAGTCCCAAGCAGACTTCACCCCTAGCTGCAGTTCTCCAATGTATACAACTGTAGTAGCCATTCCCTTGATTCACTGGGTGCAGTTACATGCTTTCAAACTGCCCCCGTGTGCTGGATTGGAAAAGGTTTGGGGTGTTGCCAAGGGAGAAGGATAGGGCAGGGCGTCAGGCTGTACTGCAACTTCGAGCACAGTGTAATTGTATACCTTTTTTCTATAGTCTCCAAAAAAGGTTGGTGATGACATCGCCAAGGCAACCGGTGATTGGAAGGGTCTGAGGATTACAGTGAAGCTGACCATTCAGAACAGACAGGCTCAGGTACTTGCTTTGAGGGGGAGGGCAGAGGTAGCAACCATCTGAAATCCCTGGGTGGAAGGTTTTTGCTGACATGGCCATCTGCCACAGTGGTGAGCTGAGGGCAATTTTAAATGTGGGGAAGCCTTTTTTGAGAGCAAGGATCAAGAAATTGTAGATGCGGGCTCAAATACTAACTTGTCACTTGTGTGACATTGGGCAAATCAATCACTTCGTGTCTCCTAGGGTAGGACACGTTTTAGATTGTGAAAAGTAGTTGAGAATGTACACAGCAAACCCCACCTGGCCCATGTTTTTTGAGAGCCAAGTTGCAAGGCAGTATTGACCTTTTTCATTGGAGGGTGGAGGAGGGCTTAATTCACATGGAGAATCTCTTCTGCAGATTGAAGTGGTACCTTCTGCCTCCGCCCTGATTATCAAAGCCCTAAAGGAACCGCCAAGGGACAGAAAGAAGCAGAAAAACAGTGAGTGGTCTTTTCCCTGGTAATCTGAGTGGTGGTGTCTACCCAGTGTGATACTTAGCTGCATGTTTTTGCTTTAGCAGAACCTAGGGATGGCACAGGGATTTGCTCAGAAGCTGTTAGACAGCCAGGCACTGCCAAGAAGTGCCTCACGGCTCTCCCCCAGTCCCCTAGCCCGGGACTGGCCCTCCCTAAAAGTACATGCAGGAGGGAAATAGGGGGAAGTACTTGACAGTGATGTCCAATAATCAGACCATTTCTGAGCTGGAAGATTCTGACAGCTTAACTAACCCCAGTAACTTCAGTTTGTCTTTTTTTGTGTAAAAAAAGATAGTGTCACCCACGCAAGGTTCGCAGAGACCTGATTTTACCCCAGCCACCCGCCACTGCACCTGATCAGTTCTCGTGGCTGGTGCAATCCAGTGGTGAGCTGATAGTAAACCCCAGCTTAGGAAACAGGGTTGTTCTTCATGTGGATGACTCTGTGCCGAAAGCATGGGAACAGCCTAAAAATAAAGGTGAAGGGAGAATATGTGGTCTTCTCTGGCCTTGGGTTGTGACACAGCTTTTGCTGTTTATTTCTTCTGCAGTTAAGCACAGTGGAAACATCACTTTTGACGAGATTGTCAACATTGCCCGACAGATGAGGCACCGATCGTTAGCCAGGGAACTCTCTGGTAAGTGGACGGCAGGGAACCCCCTTGTTATATGGGGTGTATTCACTGAGTGGTAGCATTCCTCAGCTTGAAGGGATATTACTCTGTAAGACCCACAGTTGGGGTGCAGGGTCTTCTGGGTTTAAAGAATGACTTGGGGTCAGTGAATATTTGGGTCGGGTGTGTTTAATCTGGGTGTCAGAACCCACGGACCCTTTGCATTCAGAGCCTGTATAACTAAATGGAGTTCGGAGTTTTGGCTTAGAGGAGCAGGGATGTTACTCCATAAAATAGGCTTAACTTCTCTTTATCTGATGTGAAAAAGTATTTCCCCTTGGGTATATGAGTATTGCTGAAGCCCCTCTTAATGCCACTTTTCTTAATTACAGGAACCATTAAAGAGATTCTGGGGACTGCCCAATCTGTGGGCTGCAATGTTGATGGCCGCCACCCTCATGACATCATAGATGACATCAATAGTGGTGCAGTGGAATGTCCAGCTGTAAGTGACTTCTGTTTCTCTTGCCTAGATCAGGGTGAGAGCTGGAGGAAAGCTAAAGTAGTATTTGTACAGGCTGCAAAGTTTCTAGAAATGGTCAATAATGGGTTTGGACTATTAAGAATTTCTTGTTCCGCTAATGATAGGTTTTTCTTTTTTCTTTCCCACAGAGTTAAGATTAAGAACTACAAAGGAAACTATTTTAATAAAGGATCAGTTGACAACCAGTGGACCTTTTGATACAGCCTCTTCCTTGAGGGACCTACCCCCTTTGTGGTCAAATGGTGGCTAATGGGGTCACGGTGGCAGAACCTCTGGAAAAAGTCGTTGCTTGGGTAACAAACTCCTTGTGGGTCAGATTGTTGCCCTGTATGGGACTAGCTCAGAGAAGACCCCTGGAAAAGAAGTCTCTGTGCTATTTGTAGGCTGCATGTATTCATAGAACTCTTCAGAAGAACAAAATTCTTGGCCAAAAAGAAAACTACCCCAGTGTGAAATGGTCAGGAATCTATCCCAGACCAGTTTAATTCTTGAGTGTGTTAGGGGCCCATAACCCTTAATGTGAGGCTTCACTATCCATTCCAGTGCACAGCCAGGGCTCAGAAGCACTGATGGGAAACAAACCTGACCTTTATGTCCTTAAGGGTCGTTTTCTTTCTTTAAAAAAAGCTTTTTAGTGTATTTTGAGAGAGTGTGGAAGCTGGAGAGGGACAGAGAGGGAGGGAGGCACAGAATCCAAAGCAGGCTCCAGGCTCCGAGCTGTCAGCAGAGTCCTATGCAGGGCTCAACGCACAAACTGAGATCATGACCTGAGCCGAAGTTGGGACACTTAACCAACTGAGCCACCCAGGTGCCCCGTTACAGGTCATTTTCTAATGGCATGTTTTTGCCTTTCCTGAGTCTCTCTTCCCTTAGTTTGGTTCCTTTTTTTATTAAGGTGTGGATGATATAGCTGGGTCCTGGGGCAAGCTACAATCAAGCTACTTGAAGGGACTTTTGGGACTAACCTAAAGGGGGTTATGAATAATTAACCCAAGAACTTAATTTCCTTGGCATTGCATCTTTGCCTTTCCGGAATTTTGTCAATGGGCCTTTCAAGTCCGTGGATTTTTTAATCGCCCCAGGTACAAGCAGGTTGGAGAGCTGTCTTTAGTAAAAGGATTACGTGAGCACTGAGGACCTGTGCCAAGTTGCCAAGAAACAAGCTAGAGGCCCTGGGTGATGACTGTTGAGGCTGATTCTGAAGTCAAGTGTGTAGTGTCAAACCTCAGGGGTTTATAAATGCAGAGATGAGGTCATGCCGATTGGGTGTGAGGATATGTCAAAGACAAGCCCCCCAGGACCTTTCAAGGAAGAAAGTAGGCCCACAAGGAAAATCTTGACCTAAAGGATACTGTTCTCTAGAAAGGAAGTGTAGGACCCACCAGCCTAAGAGCCAGGGGAAGATGGTGAGCTTCAGGTTCTCTTGTGTCTCCATAGAAAGGGATGTACCTCGCTGGGGGATTTGACTAGCTTCATCCTGATACCTTCAGCCTCCATTTTTCCCTCTGGGCAGTTTTCTTCCTAGCAGTACCCAACACTAGAACTAGGTGCATTGGGCCTATCTGCCTAGATTTTCCTATCTTGAGCATGGATAGATCTTCCTTACTCCTGGTAAGACTGTAGCATATAGTAGTTAGTGGCTCTTACAGTCTTTTTCCTCACTTTGGCCCCATTATGGAGAAACTGTTCATTCCTGTTCAGTGTTGGTTCTTTTTAACAGCCCTTATTCACACAGAGATAACATTCTCCCCAAATACCTGGCCTTTAAGAAGGCAACAAGTCCTTCACTCACTGGTCACTTCTTATGAACCAAGGTTTCTGCAGTGCTCTCTATACAAGCACTCTGGTTCACTGAATAAAGGTCAATCTCTAATTTGAATTGGGTAGTTTATGCTTCCTGAAAAGAAGAGCTCTCAACACCTTCCACATACAACATGTAAAGTAGGGACTATTTATTAAAGGTGCTTTTTTTGCATGTGGCTCTGAGCTACAGACTATAAAAAGCCTGATGTCTCCAGAGGTTTTCAAACTACCTGCAATGCCTGTCAGGTCCCTACCAGCTTTTTGGTTGTTTCTGGTTACTCCCCAGCATGGAGTCTCTGATGTCTAATGAAAGCTGAACTACACCTGAAGGCCTTCCCACACTCGGCACATTCATAGGGTTTCACACCAGTGTGGATTCTCTGATGCTGACTTAGGGAGGAGCTCTGGTTAAACGCCTTCCCACATTCATTGCACTCATAGGGTTTTTCTCCTGTGTGAATGATGTGATGTCGAATGAGGGCTGAACTCTCACTGAAAAATTTCCCACACTCATTACATTTATAGGGCTTCTCCCCAGTGTGGGTCTTCTGGTGGATTATGAGGTTTGTACTTTGGCTGAAGGCCTTCCCACACTCGCTGCACTTGTAGGGCTTCTCTCCCGTGTGAGTCCTCTGGTGGTTTGTGAGGTTTGCGCTCTGACTGAAGGCCTTCCCGCATGCGCCACACTTGTAGGGTTTCTCCCCCGTGTGGATTCGCTGGTGCTGAATGAAGGCGGCGCAGTAACTGAAGGCCTTCCCACACTCCCTGCACTCGTACGGCTTCTCCCCTGTGTGTGTCCTCTGGTGGTTTGTGAGATTCGCGCTGTGGCGGAAGGCCTTCCCGCAGTCGCTGCACTCGTAGGGCTTTTCTCCTGTGTGGATTCGCTCATGCTGGACGAGGGCTGAGCAGTCACTGAAGGCCTTGTCGCACGCGCTGCATCTGTAGGGCTTCTCTCCCGTGTGAGTTCGCTGGTGTTTGGTGAGGTTGGCGTTCTGGCTGAAGGCTCTTCCACATTCGTTGCATTTGTAAGGCTTCTCTCCCGTGTGAATCCTCTGGTGCTGAATGAGAGATGAACTCTGGCCAAAAGCCTTCCCACATTCATTGCACTCATACGGCTTCTCCCCAGTGTGACTCTTCTGATGCTGAGACAGGGAGGAGCAGTAACTGAAGGCTTTGCCGCATTCACTGCACGTATATGGTTTCGCTCTGTGAGGCTTCGTGGTATCTGAATTTTTCCTGAGGCTCTTTGTATGTGCTTCCCATTTGCGGGGTCTCACTTCTGTAGGAACTCTCTGTTGTGGAGAAAGGACTGGTCTCAGGTTGAAGCCCTTCCCCGGTTCACTGTTCCTGGGGTCTGACTCCCCAGGGGGCATCTCTATACTTGTGTCTTGGAATGAATTTTCAGAAATGTCTTGCTCGGGTGGTGATTCAGACATAATCTTCCAGTCTGAAAAATATTTAGAAAAGCAATTTTTCCCCCTTTGGTGGAAGAAAAGGTACTACTGAAATACCAAAGGCTGATGGAGTTTGCCCGAGCTCTTCGGCAGACCAGCCTGATGCTCCCCCCGCTTTAAACCAAAACACGTCTCACGTTTCTGTTCTAAACTGTAAACATTGACCAAGATGGCTCTTCAGCTATGTGAGCACGCTTTATTCCCTTTCCTAAAGCGCAAAGGGATATATAGAAGTGTAACCTCCCTCAGATGCAAGGCTCCCTTATCTCTGACCCTTTCCTCTGCTTTGGCCAAATACTGGGCAGTCTTCGTGTGTCTTCTTAGTCTCAATCCTTGATGTGGTTTTGGGCAATCTGCTTACCAAACTTAAAAAACTCACCTTAAAAAGCTGATGATTGGGGGTGCCTGGGTGGCTCAGTCAGTTAAGCATCTGACTTGATTTTGGCTCAGGTCATGATCTCACGGTTTATGGGTCTGAGCCCTGCATCAGGCTCTGTGCTGATGGTGCAGAGCCTGCTTAGGATTCTCTCCCTCTCTCTGTGTTCCTCCCCCACTTGTGCTCGCTCACTCTCTCCCAAAATAAACTTGAAAAGAATTAAAAAAAAAAAAGCTGATGATCAATGCCAGCATGATGAATTTTTTTCACCTATCAAATCAGCAAGATTTCAAAAACATGCTAATTCTAGAGTGCTGGTAAGGGTGCAGCATCAAGAGATCTTACACGCTGGTGTGACTGCAAAAATTGGGACAGCCTAGCCCTTCTGGAGAGCAATCTGGTTGTACATGTCAAGAGTCTTTAAAATGTTGACATTGGAACTGCACTTGTAAGAATTCATCTTAAGGAACCAATGAGAAAATACACAAAGCTGGGTTGACAAAGTTGCTCACAGCATCATTTGTCAAAGAAAAGCAAACACCTTTCAAAAAAGGAATGACCATAGTATAGCCAATTGAGGGACACTACTTAGCAATCAAAGGTCATGTATGGAATGGGTACACTATAGTTCCTTTTCCAGAAAGGTATTTATTGAGAAAACACTGGAAAGATACACAGTGTGAATGTAACCTGTGCTATCTTTGGGTTGTGAAATCAAGGGCAATTTTTATTTTCTTGTGTTTACCTGTATTTTCTAATGTTCTCTAATATTAGTGTTATAATAAAAGTCACAAAAACCTTTCAGAGAATATGCAGTGATAAAAATACTGTTAAATGGAAAAAAAAAAGACCATGTAAATTATATGTGGTTATTCAACTTCAGAAAAACATAGCACTGCATTTTGTTATAGGAAGAAGATGGAGGAACTTTTTTTTTTTTATCCTTTTCCAAATCTCAAATTAGCATATTTTTACAAGAAAATAGTTCTTTTATTTGTGTTTTTAGAAAGAGAGTAAGTGTGCTAGTGGGAGAGGGGAGCAGAGGGAAAGAGAATCTTAAGCAGGCTCCATGCTCAGGGCAGAGCTTGATACAGGGCTCGATCCCATGACCCTGCGATCATGACCTGACCCAAAATCAAGAGTGGAATGCTCAACCAACTGAGCCCCTCAGATGCCCTGAAAAGAGTTCTTTTAAGTAGAATAAATAGTATTGCTTTTATAATCAGAAAGTAGATACTAAAAAATTTTTTAAAATTTATTTATTTTGAGAGAGAGAGAGAGAGAGAGCATGAGTGCAGGGGAAGGGTAGCTAGGGAGGGAGAGAGAGAATCCCAATCAGGCTCTGCCCTGCCAGCACAGAGCCTGACGTGGGGCCCAAACCCATGAAGCCATGAGATCATGATCCAAGCCAAAACCAAGAGTTGGACGCTTAACCAACCGAACCACCCAGGCACCCTGAGAAAGTAGATATTTTTTAAAAGAAGAGTTAAAGATTCTTAACCTTTTTTGGGATCTCCTTCATTTTAGGAGAAAACTTTATAAAATGTGAGTAATGTTTATTTAGGAACTGAAGCACAGGGTCCCACACACCTGTCTCCTACACAGGGCTTGTACCTAAGAGGGTGGACTTTTAGGGGGGGCTACAGAACTTCTTTTCACAAGGGTCAATTCTCCTGAAGATTCTTTGGGTTTCTACCTTATTTCTCAGAAGAGAGAATAGCAAGGTCAGTTCTGGGTGACATTTATTTGAATTTTTTTGTTTTATTTTTTAATTTGAGAGAGGGAATCCCAATCAGGCTCTGTGCTGTCAGCACAGAGCCTGAAGTGGGGCTCAAACCCATGAAACCACAATGACTTGGGGTTTGAAGCGAGGCCAGTCTGATCGCAAAGCCCACTATTCTACCTCATGGGGTGATTAAAAAAATCAAATCAAAGGCACTAATGTGGACTTCAAAAGGGCTTTTGCTCCCCAGACACATGGACTTTGGTGTGTGCTCACTCACCGGTGCAGGTGCTCCTCAGGCCTCCTCCCTCCAGCATCCACGGGCCTTCTTCCCTTTGTTCCAACTGAGAGTTCATGCCAGGCTGGGACACTGGAAGTCCTTTTCAAGGGGGAAAATGGGCTTTAGAGATGTAGATTAGGTATAAATAGCCACCAGAACTCAAGGGAGTGGAAACACACTAGTCAGGTCGCTTATTTCACTCACTCAGTAGTTATTTATTGAGCACTTACTTGGTGCCAGGCACTGGGGGATGCAGCAGTAATTAAGACAGACACAGTGCCAAGGAGGGGTCAAGTCAAGGAGTGAAGTGAAGTCCCCAAAGCAAGTTATTAAAAAAGACAAGAACTTACTGAATATGGAGGAACTGGCCTGAGGTCACCCCACCCCTCCTGGGAAATAAGAAAACAGGGAGGTGTGGTCTCAGGGGAAACAAAATGAAACTGCCTATTTCCCAACCTGGAATGCAGAGACCTTACACGAGGAAACCAGGAGGAATAAACACTAGCCCTCCTATGTGTCAGCAAATTGGAAAGTGCCACAGATTTTCAGAACTGGGTAGATTCTAAATTTCAAATGGTTTCCTTACCCAGCAGGACCAAGTTCCTGGTGTTTTCTGGTATCCCCTCCTTGAACCTGTCCTTAGGAGCAGGGATCAAGTGCCTCCACCCCTCCTGGGTAAAAGCTACAGTCACACTGCTGAAGGGCATGGATCCCTGAAACAACAAGCACATTCCTTTAATGTTTATTTATTTTTTAAGAGACAGAGCTCGAGCAGGAGACAGGGAAGAGAGGGAGACACAGAATCTGTGAGCAGGGGAGGGGCAGAGAGACACAGAATCTGAAACAGGCTCCAGGCTCTGAGCTGTCAGCACAGAGCAGGACGCGGGGCTCAAACTCATAAACCGCAAGATCATGACCTGAGCCAAAGTAGGACGCTCAACTGACTGAGCCACCCAGGCACCCCAAACAAGCACATTCCGGCTTGCCCAGTGGCCTTAGGATACGAGGCAGCTCTGAGTAGTTTAAGAAAAACACTGATTGATCACTTCCTACGTGCCTCACACTATACAGGATACTGACACACAAAAATAAATCAAATACAGTCTCTTTGCATGTCTACAACTCTGACAGACTTTATACATAGATAGAGTGCGTATACATCTGTATCTATTTTTGGGGGAGGGAGGGAAGTCTTTCAAGCTTTTTATTGTTTGCTCCTATAGCTCGTGAGAGAAACAGACACTTTAATTGGCTTGTCCCGCCCACACACATGCGCCATTTCCGGTTTCAGCGCCAGCCCTCTCTTTTGCCTTGAAACGGAAATGCGCCAAAACGCGCCTGTAGCGGGAAAGCTGGCTCAAGCCTCATTTCCTTGGAAAAAGCCAAGAACGAGAAAGACAGATAGCTTTGTGAGGTTCTCCTTTGCAGCATTTTTCTTTTCTTAAATTTCTTTTCGAACGTACAGCAACGTTGAAAGATTTCTACCGTGAGCATCCACCGCCTAACATCATCGATCTGTTGTGTACTGTATATACATACACCTACCCATATGCAGATACATATATATCCATCCCTCTACCCTTTTACCAAGCTGTCTTGCCCTAGGAGTTATGAGATCAACAACCTTTTCTCTTTCTTTTTGTCTAGTTTCTCTTTTGAGCAGTTCTATTTGTAAATAGTGATATTTCATGACTTGTAGTCTCGTTTACAGGTCTTCCAATGAAAAAAAGAAAATGCTTGTTAGAACAAAATGCATTCCATATTGCAGTTACTATATGGGTCCATCGGTGGACCCTCTTAAAAACTTGTCAACACCATCCAGCCAAAGACCACCAGGAACACACCTAAAAGAAAGGAAGAATGCAGCGAGGCCAAAACTACAACTGGGAAAGTAGAAGTGGTTACTCATATTAGCTAGGATAGGGGGTGTTTGGTCAGTTTTGTTGTTTGGACGATATTCTTTTTTCTTGTCTCAGTTTGGAGGTGACTACGGAGTGGCCTTGTTTCTGTCTTGATTCATCACGGTCACAGAATGACCTTAATCTGTTGGAAATGTATTGGGAATACTGGAGAAACAATATTTCACAGGCCGGGTAGGACAGCCAATGAGCAGTTCATTCATTTGGAGGATGTCGCCGGAATTGGGTATTTAGACCTTCAAAACCACCATAAACACACCAACCCAGGCTCCTTCCTTCGCTCTCAAGCCATTTTTGAACCTCCATCTGTATCTATATAAAAGAAGTAACTGGGCAGAAACTAACAGGTGCTTGGGAACTGAAAGAGCAAATGTAGATAAAACAAAAATAGAATGTATACGTTTATGCTATGAGAAATCAGAAAGAACTGTGAAAGGTCAATTCTTCAGAATGCGTGATAAACATCCCTATGAACTTGGACATCACACAGTACGAAAGGAACGCCAGATGTGTGTGTGACTACCTGTAGTAGCATGTTAGACACACGGACAGACCAGGTGCCAGGATAACAGAGAAGGAATCCTGGGTGGAGAGCACGGGAAAACCACAGAGAGGAGGTGATTGCTGAGAGGGCCTTGAAGGAGGGAGTTCATCAGATGGAGAAAGAGAAGGTGGTGAGGCACAATGAGCAAAGGCACGGAGGTGAGGAAGTCCTCGTGTCTGTTTTCAGCACAAGTAATGCACTTCTATCTACCTCGTTAGCCACGCCAGAAACCTGTATGTCATCGTCCCCTTTCCTGCAACAAATCACTGCATCTTCATTTCCCCCCCACGATCACTAGAGCTTGCACATTTCTCTCTGTGGCCCTGTCACTGCCTTATTTGAGGCCAGCATCATTTTCCAAAGTATAATACATCTTTTGACCTCTAATTTTACCTGTTCTCCCAACCCCATCTTTCATACTGAGAAATGCAGTACACACACAGGACAAAGAGGGTCATTTTTTAAAAACTATAAAATATTTAAAACATTTGGGTCATTTTAAAATGGTCAAGAGGGGGCGCCTGGGTGGCGCAGTCGGTTAAGCGTCCGACTTCAGCCAGGTCACGATCTCGCGGTCCGTGAGTTCGAGCCCCGCGTCGGGCTCTGGGCTGATGGCTCAGAGCCTGGAGCCTGTTTCCGATTCTGTGTCTCCCTCTCTCTCTGCCCCTCCCCCGTTCATGCTCTGTCTCTCTCTGTCCCAAAAATAAATAAACGTTGAAAAAAAAAAAAATTAAAAAAAAAAATGGTCAAGAGAATAAAATCCACCATAAAGATGTAACTCTCATGAACTGGAAATAACAATAAGAAATTCATAAAGAAAAAAACTGTAGGAAGTACAAAAACAAATTCAAAATACTACAGCTATGAGATGTTAAAAGAACTCAGTCGTTAGCAGGGTTAATACAAAATAAACAACAAAACAGAGCGACGGAAGAACTGAGCAATTTAATAAGGTTGAGCTAATACAGCCATTAAACCCTCCATTCTGCAATCACTCTATACCTGGGTGTTCTGGGTTGACAAAAGACACACACTCTGTCTCCATGGAACAGAGACCAGCTGAATAGGCAGACAGAGAAACCAAAGTGACAATTCGAGAATATCTAAGAAAATAGGACCCACAGCCAAGAGTTTTCACTATAAACAAGAAAGGAAGAGGGGCGCCTGGGTGGCGCAGTCAGTTAAGCGTCCGACTTCAGCCAGGTCACGATCTCGCGGTCTGCGAGTTCGAGCCTCGCGTCAGGCTCTGGGCTGATGGCTCAGAGCCTGAAGCCTGTTTCCGATTCTGTGTCTCCCTCTCTCTGCCCCTCCCCCGTTCATGCTCTGTCTCTCTCTGTCCCAAATAAATAAATAAACGTTGAAAAAAAAAATTAAAAAAAAAAAAGGAAGAAAACAAATTAGAAATTTGACATGAGGTTTAAAAGATCGATTTTTAAAATAAATCTGACAAAAGCGAAAGCAAAAAACTAAAAGAAAAATCTGTTATTAAGAGAACTGATAAGAAAATCCAAGAGCAGACTTTCTAAGGAAAAGAAACAGACCATTACCTAGTCTAGTCAAGTAAAAAGAGAAGGCAGTTCCTACCCTGGTAGAACTATGCAATGGAATACACTAGGAATGATTCTGTAGAATGCTCTTAATGAAATGAGAGAAATATTGATCTAATTCTGTGAACCGGAAATAAAAAGAAAGTTACAAACCCATTTTGGGAAAGTAGAAAAGGGAGACTTATGGGGGCATCTAGCTGGCTTAGCCGGTAGAACAAGCGACTTTTGATCTCGGTGTTGTGAGTTCAAGCCCCATGGTGGGTATAGAGCTTACTTAAAAATAAAATCCTGGGGCATCTGGGTGGCTCAGTTGGTTAAGCAACCAACTTTGATCTTGACCTAGGTCAGGATCTCACGATTCGTGAGATTTGGATTCTCTCTCTCCTTCTCTCTCTGCCTCTCCCCTGCCCAATCTTACTGTTTCAAAAAAAGAAACAAACAAAACAACAAAACAAAACACATACACACACACACAAAACTTTAAAACTAAAATCTTAAAAAAAGAAAAGGAAAGGAAGAATATGCCTGAAAGGACACAAATGAAAATGTTAAGTGTTTTAATTCTCTGTGGGAATAAGGGTGAGTTTTTGAGTGTGTTTTCTGTGTTTTTCAGGTTTTCTACAATAAACATGAATTCCTTTTGTAATTAACAAACAGAAACAAGAACCTCTTAATATTTTTTATTATTATTTTTTTATTTACATGTATTTGTTTTTGAGAGACAGAGAGAGGGGGCACAAGTAGGGGAGGGGCAGAGAGAATGAGACACAGAATCCGAAGCAGGCTCCAGGCTCCAAGCTGTCAGCACAGAGCCCGATGCGGGGCTCGAACCCACAAACCATGAGATCGTGACCTGAGCCGAAGTCGGACGCTTAACCGACTGAGCCACCCAGGTACGCCAAACCTCTTAATATTTTAAAAAGGAAAAAGAGGCTGCCTCTAAGAGGAAATTTCAAACTCACGTGGGTCCCAACTGTGAGACCAGCTGCCATTCCTTCATCTCCTGTGGTTTCCTCATGGGGAAGGACAGGGTCTGGAGAAGGTGGCTCTGCAGGAAGGGAAAGAAACCAGTAAGGTTTAAAAGTTACAGCTCACCAAGCTAGAGAGTCTCACATTCTCACTCTGAAGAAGGGGGCTCAAAGGACACTGCAGGGTCGGGGGCACTCGGACTGAATGTGCAGACCTGCAGGGGAATGTAAATTTTCCATTGCCCTCCCTACTTCAGAAACCCCATCAATTCACTCAGATGCAGGGAGTAAGAGACTCAAGTAGCGTAGGTCACCACTTACCAGCAGCTTGCCAGTCACATAACCTTCCTACGTCTCATTTTTCTCATCTGTAAATGGGGGTGATGATCCTTTGTTCATTGTTTTTATTTTATTTTTTTAATGTTTATTTTTGAAAGAGAGATAGAGTGTGAGTGGGGGAGGGGCAGAGAGAGAGAGGGAGACAGAATCTGAAACAGGCTCCAGGCTCTGAGCTGACAGCACACAGCCTGACGTGGGGCTCAAACTCGGGAGCAGCGAGCTCATGACCTGAGCCAAAGTTGGACGCTTAACCGACTGAGCCACCCAGGTGCCCCTTGGATGATGATCCTTTGTAAAGATGCTGTGAAGATGAAAGAAAAGTGCAGACAAAGCAGATGGCACAATGCTTAGCATGTAAGCACACAGTTTACAAATATCACCTACTGCTCAGTTTGCTGGGAGAAAGTGCTCTGCAGATTTCAGACATTTACCAAATCAAAAGAGGTAATGACCAAGTGGGAGTCATCCCAGAAATGCAAGATTGGTTCAACATGAGAAAATCAATCAACATAATATGCCACGTTAATAAAAAGCGAAAGACCAACACGGATCATCACAATAAACACCAAAAAAGGCCATTACACAAAATCTGACACCCTTTCCTGATAACACACATTCAATAAACCAGGAAGAGCAGAGAAGGACTTCAATTTGATAAAAGGCAACCACAGAAAACCCAGATTTACATCATACTTAATGGTAAAAGACTGAAACATTCCTCTAAGATGAAGACGAAGATATCTGCTCTCACCACTTCTATTCAGTATTATACTGGAGGTTCTAGCCGGGAAATTAGGAAGGGTTGTGGCGGGGGGAGAAAGGCATCCAGGTTGGAAAGGAAGAAGTAATTATCAGTATGTGTTGACACGATTTTGTATACAGAAAATGCTAAGGAAGGGTGCCTAGCTGTTTTCAGTCAATAGAGCATGTGACTCTAGATCTCAAGGTTGTGAGTTCAAGCTCCACATTGGGTGTGCAGCCTAACTAAAAAGTAAATAAAAAATAAAGTAGCCCTGCTATTTAGAAAAAAAAAAAAAAAAAAAAAAAAAAAAAAAAAAAAAAAAAAAAAAAAAAGAAAATCCTAAGGAACCCACAGAACCAAAACAAAACAAAACACCTATGACAGCTAAACCAGGTCAGCAAGATTGCAAGATCCAAGATGGATATACAATAAAAAGACAACCCAATTAAAAATGGGCAAAGAATTTAAACAGACATTTCTCCAACTGTATTTCTGTACACTAGTAATGTATAATCCAAAAGTGAAATTAAAAAAAAACAATTCCCTTTGCAAGAGCATTAAAAGAATAAAACACTGAGGAATAAATTTAACAATGGAAATGCAAAACATGCACACTAAAAGCTACCAAACACTGTTGAAATTACAGAAGGTCGAAATAAATGGAAAGATATCCCATGGATTCATGGATTGGAAGACAACAGTGTTGGGATGGCAATACTCACCCAACTCATCTACAGAATTATGCAAAATCCCAGGGGACTTTTTAATGGAAATTGATTAAGCTGACCCTAAAATTCATCTAGAAATGCAAATGACCCAGAAGAGCCAAACAATCTAGAAAAAACAAAGTTGGAGAACTCACATTCACACTATCAAAACCTTCTATAAAACAAAAGTAACTAAATAGTGTGGTTCTAGTATGAGGATAGAAATATAGATTGATGGAGGCGGTGCCTTGGATGGCTCAGTCGGTTGGGCATCGGACTTCAGCTTGGGTCATGGTCTCGCGGTCCGCGAGTTCGGGTCCTGCGTCGGGCTCTGTGTGGACAGCTCAGAGCCTGGAGCCTGCTTCGGATTCTGTGTCTCCCTCTTTCTCTGCCCCTTCCGCACTCATGCTCTTTCTATCTCCCAAAAATAAGTAAATGTTAAAAAAAAAGAAAAGAAATATAGATCAGTGGAGAAGAACTGAGAATCCAGAAATAGATCCATGTATTTGTGGACAACTGATTTTCAAAAAGAGTGCCAAGAAATTAAATGGGGAAAGATTAATCTTCAAAAAGGTGGTGCTGGGGAGGTGCATCGGTGGCTCAGTCAGTTAAGGGTCCAACTCTTGGTTTCGGCTCAGGTCATGCTCTCATGGTTTTGTAAGTTCAAGCCCTGCATCGGGCTCTGTGCTGACAGTGTGGAGCCTGCTTGGGATTCTTTCTTTCTCTCCCTCACTCTCTGCTACTCTCCTGCTCACACGGTCTCAGTCTCTCTGAAAAATAAACAAACTTAAAAAAAAAAATGGTGCTGAAACAATTGGATATCGACATACAAACTTGTAACTCACACCACATACAAAAATTAACTCAAAATGGATCAAAGACATAAGTGTAAAAAGTGAAAACTCCTAGAAGAAAACTTAACTATAAATCTTTAGTACTGTGCTGACAGCTCAGAGCCTTGAGCCTGCTTCAGATTCTGTGTCTCCCTCCTCTCTGCCCCTCCCCTGCTCATGCTCTGTCTCTCAATAATAAATGTTAAAAACATTTTTTTTAAATAAATCTTTAGTACCTCTGGTTAGGCAATGGTTTCATAGATAAGACACCAAAAGCACAAGCAACAGAAGAAAAAATAAACTGAATTTCACTGAAATTAAAAATTTGTGCTTCAAAAGGCACTATCAAGAAAGATAAAAAAGATAACCACAGAATGGCAGAAAATATCTGCAAAACATCTATCTTCTAAGGGTCTAGTATCCAGAATATTTAAAGAATTCTTCCGGGGGCGCCTGGGTGGCGCAGTCGGTTAAGCGTCCGACTTCAGCCAGGTCACGATCTCGCGCTCCGTGAGTTCGAGCCCCGCGTCGGGCTCTGGGCTGATGGCTCAGAGCCTGGAGCCTGTTTCCGATTCTGTGTCTCCCTCTCTCTCTGCCCCTCCCCTGTTCATGCTCTGTCTCTCTCTGTCCCAAAAATAAATAAAAACGTTAGAAAAAAAAAATTAAAAAAAAAAAAATTCTTCCACCTCAACAATAAAAAGACAAATAGCCCAATTAAAAAGTGGGCAAAGGATATGACTAGATATTTCTTTAAGTGAGATATACAAATGGCCAATAAGTACATGAAAAGATACTCAACATCGCTAGTCATTTAAGAAATGCATATCAAACAATCATGAGATATTTCACACCCACTAAGATGGCTACAATAAAAAAGATGGAAAACAAGTGTTGATGAGGATGTGGAGAAACTAGAACTTCCATACATTGCTACTGGGATTGTGCAATGGTGCAGCCACTGTGGAAAACAGTTTGACAGTTCCTCGGAAAGTTAAATGGAGTTCCCATATGACCCAGCAGTTCCTCTCCTAGATGCACACATTCACACAAAAACTTGTGCACATGTTGTCACAGCAACATTATTCATAATAGCAGATACTGAGGAACAAAATGTGGTATATCAATATAATGATATCATTCAGCCATAAAAAGGACTGAAGTACATTCATTCATGTCACAACACAGATGACCCTTGAAACATTATTCTAAGTGAAAGAAGCCAGACACATATATTGTATGATTTTATTTTTTTGTCTTTTTAAAGTTTATTTTGAGAGACAGCGAGCAGGGGAGGGGCAGAGAGATAGAGGGTCCATGCTGTCAGTGCAGAGCCTGACGTGGGGCCACATCTCACGAACCTGAGCCGGAACCAAGAGCCAGACACTTAAGACTGAGCCACCCAGGCGCCCCTGTATGACTCTATTTTTATGAAATGTCCAGAAGAGGCAAATCCATAGGAACAGAAAGTAAAAATCCATAGAGATTGGGGGAAGAGGGAATAAGGAGCGATGGCTAATGGGTATGGGCTTCTTTTAGGGGTGATAAAAATGTTCTGGAATTAAATAGTGGTGATGGCCGCACAACCTGGTGAACTCAAAGTCACTTTATTGTAGACTTTAAAAAAGAAGTACGTAAGTCTGAATATTGGTCTCAGTACAGACCTTATGTTATTGAATTGTACCTAACTCCATTGTACCTTAATGTCCTCTTTGGTAGTACCAGGAGGATGATAACCATCCTACTTGCTGTTCCCAGGTCTCTGGGGGAAGACAACACAAAATGCTAGATATGCACTTGAGAAATTACAGACCAGTACAGGGACCCCCTGATCTAAGAGAGGATGGCATAGGCCTCGGTGGTTAAGTTTACACACACGTTTGTTCTGTTGTATAAATTGTTCAACGTGCTTTAAAAAACGTTATTTTATTTGATGCTTTTTAGAAGTAAACAAGGTAGTTAACGTTATTTTACGCTTCCCTCCAGGAAGAAACGCAGCGTAAAAGACCAAACCAGTGCCCCAGAGCTTAAACAGGAACGCTAGCCTTCTGATTCCAAATCTCCAGTATGCTCCTCGACTTCACGGACCCACTGACTTGAACCGGCCCTCATTCTCATGTGGAGCCAATAGGCTTCTGTTCTGAGAATTTCTGGCTGTTTCAAGAACGGCCGGAAGACCAGAAACAATAGGAAATCCTGGGTTGTCCCATTTTCCTTCCCATGGCCCATTTATCTCGGCTTTCATAAGCCAATGGTGCATCAAGCAGATCGGGGTAAGTAGGATACTCAGGGCTTATTCAGGCCTGAGGGCCTCCAACTTTCTTGACCCTAGAATTCTTTACTCAAAAAAGGATCGTCCCCAACCACGTGTGGGAAGGATAACCGGAGTTCTGGTCCCGGTCACACAGCGGTATTAGTGGGCAAGTTGGAACAAGAAGCCGGATCTCCTGCAAACCGCTCCCTCCACACCCTCCTTCTTACCTCCTTCCTCCAGCATTTGGATGCCACCTCGCGCCACCGCCTCCCAGCAGTTCTCTGAACCCCAGCCGCGCTCTGCAGGCCTGCTCTGCCTCCGGCTTCTGCTGTCAGACGCCGGGTCTGGCCCTGGGAACTCTGGTCAGGCCTGTCCAGTCGGATCTGTCTCCCCAGCGGCAGCCAGGCCTCGCGAATGGGGAGCCCGTGGCGCAACCACCGACTCGGTCTCAAGCGAATGCTGCGTGGAAAAAGCCGCCGCCGGCTACCCGAGAACGCTACCGGGTACCAGTGTGAACTCAGAAACCCTAGCCGCAGGGATTGCCAAGCGCCAGGCCCAGCTCGCGCGCCTAAGAGGACGCGTTCGAATAGCGTCACTTCCGGCCATGCGTACGGACCTCCCCGCCCCAACGGACTCCACTTCCCAGAAGTCTCCGGGCCCAGCTCCTCACCGAAACATCTTTCGCTCTCGGTGCCCGGTTTGTGACCCGCACATCCTTGTGAACCATATTTCCCAGAGAGGCTCCGCTTGTTCCTGCTCCCGGAATCTCTCTTCCATCATGCTTGGTCCACGTTCCTTTCAGGTTCACCGGAATTCCACGGCTGGGACCTGAAATGGGAAGCGACTTGGCCGCGAAGGATCCTGGGAGCGGTGGTTCTAGCGCAGGCGCTGGACGCTTGGTTTGTGGTCGTTTTTTCTCCGTGGTTCGGCGTTCTTGGAATACTGAGTCCTGGGGGCTTCTGGTAGCGCGGCCTTCATTCAGCTCAGGGTCTAATCCCAGCCACCTTTATGGTCCTCTTGAGCAGTACCGAAAGTCTGGGAAGAGTAAAGGAAAGGAGGGCCCCTCGGTGTGAACAGGGCAGCCACAGGTTGGTGCCCTGGAACTCTCAAGAGTATAAAAATCTATCATCATATCAAGAGTATAAAAAAATTACTTCTTCAGTAATTTCAGGGGCAGAATCCCTGAATAATGTTAATAGAGTTCCATTAGCACTATTGCTGGAGGAGATTCCTAAATATTCTATCCTTTGGAGGCTTTCGCGCTATGCCAGAGGATATTTCCATGAACTTTCTCAGAGCACTGATGACGTTTTCTCCTCTTGCCTGAGGAGTTCCTCAGGCAATTTTCTGTTCATTCAGTTTTGAGGCACCTTGACGTTAAGAAGATGGGAATGTGTTACCTGGGAAGCAGAAATGAGTTTGGGGGTTCTCGGGCCTGTTTTCATTTTGTACTGTCTGCCCCTTTCAGCCACAGCTGGTAGCGTTTTTGGCAAAAGAATTAAGTTTGTGGGTCTTCTATGAATCTTATTGGGCAAGCCACACCCACAAATCTCTGAGATAAGCTTTTGTCTATCTTGGGGTGCTGCAAGTTTGGGCTCCCAACCAGTGGAGGCCAGAAATCTAAGATGGATCTCCCTGGGCTAAAATCAAGATGTGGGCGGGGCTATGTTTCTTCCGGAAGGTCTAGGGGAGAATGTCTTTCCTTGTCTTTTCCAGCTTCCACTTGGCTCCTGACCCCTTCCACTTGGTGCTGTTCTGCCTATTGCCCCCAGGCCCAGCAGGTGCTAACCCCATAATGGCCAATGGGCGGTAGTGGTCTTCCTGCCTTAGTCTTGGGATCCCATCCAGGGCCACTGGGGGGGAAGCAGAGTGCTTCACTCTTCAACTGATGCAATCCCGTCTATGGCCACTTGGTGGCGTCAGGGCATCCCTTGCCTCAAGAATGCAGAAGCGAGGATTCTCCTAGAAGTTGTTCTGGGGGCAGGGGGATTTGTCATGGGGTCGGTGTGGGGGGTTGTGCAGATTTCTACCTCGGGAGGGGTAAAGCACAGTTTCTGCTGCTACACCTGTCCTTTAGGGATGTCCCTTCCTGCCCTCCATGGTCCTGTGCCTGATGGTGCTGGGCTGGGCTTCTGGGGCAGATTTAAGACTGGCGCTGGCTCTGGTCCCGGAAGCGTCTTGTGCTCTGATGAGAAGGCCCCAAGGAAGTCTTAAGGGAAGCTCTGAAGAGCGTGTGTGTCCACAGTCATTGGTCCCTGTAAGTGGATGTTGGAAGCAGTCAGAGATGGTATGGGTAGGAGTTGCTGAGGAATCAGCGTAGGAAATAGAATATATAAAAAAAAGTGTAAAGATTTCACATGTCCGTTTGAGGCACCCCTTGAGCATCACCCCTTGCATGCAGCTCCCGGCGTTGCTTCACCACAGCCTCCCGTCCACGCCTGCACAGCCTCACCATCAGCAGCAGCTAACATCCATTGAGTACTTATTCTGTGCCATCCTTGGTCCAAGGTGCTTTACAAACTTCTCTCCTTTCATCTTCACGACCACTCCATGAGGAAAACAGCATCCGTAGGCCCATTTTACACATGAATAAGCGGAGGCTTAGGTTAAATGACTTGTCCAGGTCACACAGGCAGTGAGTAATTGAGCCAGAATTTGAACTAAGCCCACTGCCTCTTACCCACCATGCTGCACTGGCTCCTGGACCCTGGGTTATGGAGGAAAGAGACCAAGATAGAGTTGAAGCCACAATGCCATTTTCCTTGCCCACAGTTTAACTTCCATTATCACCATCATTTGCATCTCTTCCACGTCACCTCCATCTCCATTTTCTGTCTTCATCTCTATCATTGTCATCTTTTTTATCTCCTTCTCTCCTCTGCCAACTCTGTTTCTCATCTCCCTCTAACTCTATATGTAATAGCAGAGTTATCAATAAGCAGAAAACTGGAAACAATCTGAATGTGGAGCAATATGAGGTTGATTTAAGTTCTGACATATTTATACAACAAATCCTCTTAATCTGTTGAATTTCACAAATACTTAAGCACCCACTCTTTGCCACACACCGTGACTCCAATGGCAAACACTGCATCATCGTTAAAAGAAAAAAGCTTTCATTTCAAGCTGGTGGACTGAACTTAACGCATTTCCCCTTTTTCTTCCTCGAGTTCCCACTGAAATGACAGTGAAGATGTATAAAATGTCAAAAGCCATAACAGAACTGAGAACAGGTGCAGGGTGGGGGACACATCCCAGCCACTGCAATTAAAACCCCCTAGCACTTCATTCCTCAATATGGACAACCAAAGCTCACCAGATACTTGAGATAAAACAGCGGCATAAAAGAGAAGGCTTTCCAGAGGAAATCAGAGAATAGAAGACAATTTTCAAAAAGTTAAAAACATACAAATAGTTTTACTCGTAATAGTGAATACCGAGTGTTGTTGAGGATGTGGAGCAGCCGGAACTCTTGGACGCTGCTGATGGGAACGCAAAAATGGTACCACCACTTTGGAAAACAGTTCGGCAGCTTCTTACAATCGTGAAACCAACTTACATATGACCCGATAGTTCTTCTCCATGCAGGGACTTGTGTGCAGGTGCTCACAGAAGCTTTCTTCATGATAGCCCCAAATTGGAACTAGTCCAAATGTACGATGGGACACTACTCAGCAATAAAAAGAGAACTGCTGCTGCATGCAGCATGGATGAGTCTTAAAAGTGCTCTGCTCAGAGAAGCCAGGCGCAAAATACTACAAACAACAGGGTTTTTGTAAATCTAGAAAAGGAGGGGCGCCTGGGTGGCTCCGTTGGTTAAGTGTCCAACTCTTGATTGCAGCTCAGGTCATGGTCTCATGGTCCATGGGCTGGTGCCCTGCAAGCCTGCTTGGGATTCTCTCTCTCCCTCTCTCACTGCCCTTCCCCCCAAATGTACGCACACATGCTCTCTCTCTCTCCCTCAAAATAAACATTTTTTAAAAATTCTAGAAAAAGAAAAACTAGAGGGAGGAGACTGACATGAGGGACACAAGGGAACATTTTGAGCTGATGAAAATGTCTTATATCTTGATTGTGGTGGTGGGTACACAGCTGTATACATTCCTCCTAAGTCATATTTTTATACCTACAATTGTTGAATTTTATGGTATCTAAATAATGCCTTAATAAAGTCTGTTTTTAAGAGTGAAAATATGGGGGTACCTGGGTGGCTCAGTTGACTGAGTGACTCTTGATTTCAGCTCAGGTCATGAGGATCAAGCCCTGTGTCGGGCTCTGTGCTGGGCAGGGAGCCTGCTTGGGATTGTCTCTCCCTCTTTCTCTGCCGCTCCCCAACTTGTGCATGCATGCACTGTCTTTCTCTCAAAATAATGTTAATAATCATGAAAAACAAAAAGTAAAAATAACGTATCCTCAGGGAAACCCCCAAAGGTATTTCCATCACAAAGAAAAGTGTAGGATACTACAAAAAAGGAATATATAATAAGATATAATTGAAAATGATTGTCAAAGCACCAATCAAAAGAAGGCTGGATTGGTCATACTGATATCAGACAAAGTAGACCTCAGAACGAGGAATATTACCGGGGATAAAGAAGGTCATTTCATACTAAAGGACAAAACAATCAGAAGGTAGCAATCCCAGATGGGCGTGCACCCAGTGATGATCTCTAAGGCACATGAAGCAAAACCCAAGAGAACTGCAAGGAGAAAGAAATCCACATTTACAGGTGGAGATTTCCACACTTCTCTCTCAATAAATGATAGAACAAATGGACAGAAAGAAAAGATGTATTAGACCTGAACCGCTCTATTCAACAACTGGCCTAAATGGACATTTGTGGAATACCCTGCCGAACCACAGAATGTGGCTCTCAACCCGGTGGGCTGCTGTGCAGGCACGAAGAATGAGAATGTATATATGCAGTTACTGTGCGTGGATGTGACCTTGTTTCTGGAAGTCCCCAAGGAACTTGGATTTTGCTAAGGCTGAAAATTCCTGTGTATTACTTAGCACATTTTACTGAAATCAGAGCAGCCATTGCAGAATCTTCCAGAAAACTCCTCACTGCTCAGCCCTGGACCCCACTGCACTTCCATTCTCCTACTCCCCAGTCTCGTTACAAGGCTTAATAGAAGATGTCAAGGTGGGCACATGTGGGGGCTGTACAACCCAGGAGGTGAGTAAAGCAGATCACGGAATGGGAAGTGTGGTGTCCTACCTGTGTGTAGTGATGCTAGAAAGGATAGATGTAGGGAGGAGGAGTTTCAGGATAGTATCAAATTCTTTTTTTTTTTTTTTTAATTTTTTTCCTTTTGAGACAGAGAGGAGAGAGAGAGAGAGAGAAAACGCACAAGCAGGGGAGAGGAGGAGAGAGAGAGAATCCCAAGCAGGGATTTCATGACTCTGGGATCATGACTTGAGCTGAAACCAAGAGTCAGACACTCAACTGACTGAGTCACCAGCTCTACTGTGCTGACAGCAGAGAATCCGATGCGGGGCTCGAACTCACAAACTGCAAGATCATGACCCGAGCCAAAATGGAGAGTTGGAGGCTTAACCGTCTTTGCCACCCAGGTGCCCCAGGATAGAACCAAATTTTTAAAAGAAGTTACATCTGGAAAGGTGCAGTTATGCATAATTATTGTATCACTTGTCCAAAGAAATGAGTTAATATTTGTAAAGTGCTGAGGGCAATGCCTAGCAGATGGTTAACTGCTATAAAAATCATTATGCTAAATAAATCTGTGTTTTCCAATTTTCCTACAATAAACATGTATTACTTTTATAATGGATAATAAAAGTAATTTGTAAAAGACTTGTGGGTCCATTAAAGTCACCAGAAGGAGAGATGTGTTGTTGTTGTTGTTGTTAATAAGATTTGATAACTAATGATCCAGGGGACTGAACCCAAGGATGAAGGAGCCAGAAATGATGTCCAAGTGCCAAGAGTGAGCCCAGCTGACCACAAGAGGAAGTAAATCAACAGATATTTGTGGCGAGGCCCAGTTCGTGGGAGGCCTGGTGTACGGAAGGGATGGGAAAATGTCCTTCTCAAACTGCATTTCACACAAAGAGGCCACGGCCTGATTTTCTGAGTCAAATCTTTATTTGGCAAACAAAGTTCCTTCCTGATAATGCAGCCACGTGAGAGGGGGTCACCACCCAAAAGCATCTCCTCCAGAAAATGAGGAGCCGAGAGTCCCCCTCCTCTGCTGTTGCTTTTGTGGCAAGGTGGAGATGGCCTGTGGATGATGGACCACGGGGCAGCAAAGCCCCTCCAAGGAGTTCCCTCCTCCTGAGTCGCAGAGTGGTGGTGGGAATTGGACCCCGGGGGCCGGGAACCTCTTACCCATGGTTCGCTGGGCCAGAGAGAGCTGGGTAGGAAGGAGGGACCCCGGAGGACAAGGCTCCAAGGGGCTGTGGTCCTGCATTCCACCTCCCTGGGGACAGGCAGGGGCTCCAGGCTCTGGCTGAGGCCCAGCTTGGAGTCACAGGTGATTCCGTCTCCTCTGAAGCCCAAAGCCGGCCCTGCTAGGAGTGGCAGCCACTCATGAGAAGGGGTTGTCATCGCCCCTCAAAATGGGCTGTGATTTGCTCCAAAGTCTTTCCTTTGGTTTCAGGGACACAGGACAGAGTGAAAAGGACACTGAAGATGCAGAAGGCGGAGGCGAGCCAGAAGGCGCCGTAAGGCCTGAGAACCTCCTGGAAAGAGAGGAAGGGCCTCGTGTAGACGCAACAGGTCAGGAGCCCTCATGGACCCTGAGCTGAGGCCCTGGCCCCCTCCGCCCACCCCCCACCCAGGCTCAGGGGTGCGGAGGAGGGTCTGGCCCTGCCCTCCAGAAACCTGCAACGAGCACCATACAAGCTGTGGACGTCGGGTGGCTGGGGAAGCTGGCAAAACTGTCATGCAGTGCCTCCCCCAAGGTCAGACCCCCACTGTCAAGCGACAGCTGGGCTCCCACCCCTGGTGTCTGCCTCCAGGGCCCCCAGACCTGCTCTCTACACTGTGCTTTGGCCCTACCCCCCGAGTTCCCTGCCCTCCAGAGGAGTCTCTTCTTGGTGCCACAGGGAGCAGGCTGCACTGGGGCAGTGTGAGCACGGAGGACACTCGGGACCCAGTGGCATGGAAGGAAGAGAGAGCACTTCCCGTCACTCAGAGCCTGGTCACCCTCCCAGGACAGACCTGATGACCTCCCAGGTGCCAGGACCAGAGGCCCCTCCCTTGTCAGCTCCTTTCCCTCTGGGACCCAGTGACCCAGCGCTCCCCTGGCCCCCCCCTTCCCCCCCCCACCAAACTCTGGGACACTGTACACTCCTGGGTCACTGTTAGGTCCTTTACCGCCGCCCCCCCTCCTTTGTTGCTGGTCCCTCCGCACAGCTCCCAGTGAGTAATTTACACCGCTAAGACTTTGCTCCGGTCTTCCCGATGTGTTCCCCAGTGCAGCCCGCCTGAGACCCAGGCCCTGCAGAGACTCCAGGCCAACCCCAGGCATCCATGCCTCTCCTGGCCTGCCCACCCCCACCTCCCCACCCCCTCCAGCCTCCCAGTGGTTTGTTCTCCTTCTGCTGTCCGCTGCCAGCCCAACCTCATCCACCCCGTCCACCCCAATCCATCCACAGGGCACCCTGTCCACTGCATTCATTGCTGTCTCTGGCTCCTCCAACAGGCCTGGACATGGTATGTACCAGGAGACCTGGGGGAGGGGAGGCGGACGGGAATGAATGCCTGGACAGGTGGCCTATCTGCTCCAGAACCATCCTCCCCTATCAGCTGGGGAGCCCCGTGGCAGGGTCCAGGGCTGTGTCAGTCCATCTGTGCAAAAGTAGCAAAGTTTTAAAATGAACTGACGCTCCCACAACCCTGAGGGGAAGGTGCTGTCACCCTCCTCCATCTTCAGCCAAGGAAGCTGGTTTAGAGAAGGTGAGCAGCACACCCCAGGTCACACAGTGGGAAGTGGCCGAGGTGGGGTTAGAGCCCAGGCTTGTCAACTCCAAAGCCAGAGTTCTTCCCGCACAGCCCTAGACCCTGGCCCATGTCCCCACTGTCCAATGGTGGAACTGTATCCTGCTTCTGCCGGAATGGCCTGAAGGTCCTGAGTGGTCACAGCCTGTGTTCTACACCTTTCCTGGCCCATCTGTCTTCCCTTCGTCCCTGACCAAGATGGCCGGTGTCCCGGCCCCCGTGGGGCCTCAGCCACTGGCCCTGAGTCTTCTGCAGTAAGAGTAATTCTAAAAAGCGCTCCCCACTGACTGCGTGAGGAGGAGACCTTCAGGGCCTGCACTTACCATGATGCTGCTGAACTCTTTCGTCACCAGGAAGGCCATGAACCAGTTAGTGAGGACGCACACACCTGTGGCCAGGCCCTTGACGTGCAGAGGAAAGATCTCAGACATGAGGAGCCAGGGGATGGGCCCCCAGCCCACGGCGAAGCCTGTGGGAGCAAGACAGGCATCAGAAGCCCATAGGGCCGACCCCTTGGCTGGCCACAGACCCCCTGGGCCAAAGCCTCGCAGTTTCCAGCCAGGCCCCCCAGCTCTGTGCCTTCCTGTAGCGATGTCTCAGGTCAGTCCCTCTACTTCTTAGTACCAGGCTTTTCTCTGTAGAATGGGGTCATGCCGGGGCCCGCTTGGAGGGCTGTTTGGGGAGTAAGTGAAAGGGGCAGAGAAGGGTTTAGCTCAGTGCTCGGGGCCTTGGTCAGAGCCATAAACGCAGGGGCGGGGGACCTGTGGGATGGGGAGGCCTGGACTGGCTGGGAGCCGCAGGAACCCGGCAGTGATGGAATGGCCCCACAGGCCCCCCGCCCAACCTCCCCGTGGGCCCCCTCTCACCAGCGATGAAGAGGCACATGCTGCCCACTGCCAACCAGGCCAACCCCACGCTGGCACTGGTGGGCTCCATGGAGATGGGTGTCGAGAGATCCACGTGTGAGGAGTTGCTGGGGCCGCCCTGGGTCAGCTTGAAGTAGGCACCGAAGGCACTGGTGCTGAACACCATGATCACACCTGCGGGCGGAAGGGGGCAGTGCGCAGGGCTCTGGGAGAAGCGGACCGCGGTCCGGGCACGGGGCACTCAGGTTGGAGTCTCAGTGCAGTGTGGCCACAGTGATGCGGCCTGGGTTTCTCTGAGAGGGTGGTGAGCGGGACCCAGGAGCCCAGATCGGCAGCACCCAGCCCGGGCCGGCCCCAGCTTGGACCTCGAACCGGAGCCAACTCCAAGAAGCTCCTGGTGGCAGTGCCTTCCTGGACCGAGGAGCAGGAGTGGTAACTGTGACAGCAGCATGGGTTTCACCCCCGTGCAGATCATCTCTGGATCCTCACAATGGCCCATCGCCCCCATTTCATACAGGGAAAACTGAGGTTCAGAGGGGTGAAGTCACTTGCCCCAAAAGACCTCCAGCTTCTGAGTCACTTCTCCTGCTGGGTCCTCAGTTTCCTCATTGTAAACTGGGGCCCTGATGGCGCCTGCTTGGAGGCTCACTGCAAGGGTCTGTTAGTGCAGGCCTGGTCTGGAGCAAGCACTCAGTAAGGGCTCCCATGGATCTCGGCCTTGTTCTCAGGGGTGCTTGGCTGGCCTTTTCCTGTCTCAGTGTGGTGGCCTTGGCAAAGACCCTCCAGTCTGTGGTGGGGACCCTGGCCTGCACCACCCCATTTTCAAAGGGCCGAGCCCTTGCCCTCGGGCCTCACCTGACAAGGTCAGGAGCAGCCTCCGCCCAGCTTTGTCCATGATGAGGGCCGCCATGGCCGTGAACAGCACCTGGATGATGCCCACGATGACCGAGGCTAGGCTACTCTCCTGGGGAGATGGGCCGAGGCGGGTCAGGCAAAGACCCCAGGACTAGGCCCCATCCACACAGCATCTGGATGAGGCAGGCCAGGGTGGAGGCCTCTTTACCTTGAACTTGGCCTCCTCAAAGATGGTCTCTGCATAGAACATGACAGCATTGATCCCTGACAGCTGCTGGAAGGCCATGAGTGAAACGCCGATGATGAAGGGCTTGTAGATGCTAGGAAGCCTCAGCTGGGCCAGGCGGAAGCCCTGCTCAGACAGAGGCCGGTGTCAGTGCGTCTCCCTACCCCCTCCCGAGGGGCCTGCTGGCTTTGAGCCCCTGTCCTAAAGCCTGGTGGAGGGAGTGAGGCTCAGCTTCTTATCACCTGGGCCGCGGGTCCAAGACAGGTCTCCGCATCACTTTAGCCTCTCCATTTGTAAGGTCCTCACCTCCCCATGCCCTTTCCTGATTTGCTGGGGGAACTACAAAGAGATTACATGGGCACATAGCCAGGGGCTCCAGAATCCTACCAGCCTCAGGCCTGGGCCTGTGCCGAGTGCCTCTCCTGGCACCACCAGGCACATGCTAGGACTCCCATCTTACAGATGAAGAAAGGAAGGCTTAAGGATGGGAAGGTCAGACAGCAGGTAAGTGGCAGAGACTCCGTCTTCTCCGCTGCCCTCCAGTATCCCATTTAAAAATCCAGTTCCTCAAGGTTGCGCCTGCGTTTCCTTCTGACACACTGGGCCTTTCTCTTCCTGGGACAGTAAGATCAAGGCTAAGGCCCAGCCAAGTAGTGGGGCTCCAGCAGGCCTTTGCTTGCTCACACATAGGACAATGCCACCGCTTGTGCCTCTCCTCCCCGTGTGTGTCTGTACAGCCTTGGGGACAGGCTGTGCTAGCCTCCCCTGGCTGCAAAGGGGCCATACCTCACTGTTTCCTCCCCACCCTGGCTCTGGATCCCAGCCCCTCACCTGGTGCTCGGCCCCGACAGGGGGCTCCTCCCAGGTCTGCTCAGAGCCCCACAGGAACTGCATAGCGGCCATGGCTTCCTGGCGCTTGTGCTGGGTCAGCAAGAAGCGTGGGGTCTCGGGCATGTAGCACATGAGCAGCAGCATGAAGGAGGCGGGCACACAACCCAGCACAGCCAGCCAGCGCCACTCCAGGACCCAGCCTGGTGGGGGGCAGGGGGGTGGTGGTTTCAGATGTCAGTGCGGAGTGGGCCAGCCTGCACCTTATCAGGGAGCGCCTGCCCTCTCACCAACCCCCGGGACTCAGCTTAAAGGGTGGGGGCCTCACGACCTCTGTGTGGCTACTACCCTTGCTTGCGTTTGTTACTAATACTGTTGTTACCATCTGTTGAGAAACATTACGTAAACAAGCTGGTGGGTGCATTATGCTACATCTGCTCAGTGGATATTTACGTGGCAATCAAAAATGAATGAGGCACTTGTTTTGTCTAAAAGGGAGGGGTGGGAGAATAAATATGCATAGTCGTCATGCATGCACAGACTCTGGAAGGCCACAAGAAGCAGGCAAGTGGGCTCCTCTAGAGAGGAAGGGGGACAGAGTGGGAGAGACTTTTTTCCTGAACACCAGTGGATCAATATTCACAGAAATTGATCAAAGTGCAGGTTATGATGAGGTAATTCTGTAGGCATATTGACACCCACGTGTCTGTCCCAAATGTCAATGTCTGTATTTGGCAGGGGCTTTGGCACATTGCGGGTCCCCAAAAGCAGCCAGACTGCTGGTAGGACTCTGAATTAGAGTCTGGATGCTAAGTGGGTAAAAATGAATGACCACACACCAGCATGTCGTCCACTCTGAAGAACCAGAGGGCACAGGCTCTGGGCCCTGCCACTGCCAGTCAGGTTCCTGAAGCCCCCATTCCTCGCTGGGTATAAGGCCATCCCTTGACAGTTCTCATGGGGCCTGCTGCTTTTCATGTGTCGCTTAATTTAGTCCCTCAACAGCCTTGGGCTAGGTAGGGTTATCTCCACTTAAAGACAGGGGAAGCGAGGCTCCCTGGGGCAGTGTGACAGAGCCAGAACGTGCCCCCTAATGTGGAACCATCAGGTATGAAGCCTCTTTCTACCACAGTTCTAGCGAAAGCATGTCTGCCTCCAGAAGCTTCCTCATGTTGACCCCAGCTCTGACCCTCGGGTTCCTTGGGACCCTCCTCCTTCACGCTGCAAATCTAGTACTAGTATTTGAGAGACAGGCTTGGGCCCTCCAAACTCCTGGGCTGGAGTTTTTGGGGTGTCCCCCCACCCCCTTAAATTCTTAATTTGTTACTGCACAGTGACCCAACCAGTCAGCCCTCCCCACATCCTCGGAATGGGCTTCTGCCCTGGGAAGATGAGGACATCGCCTTCTCCCACTCTCCCTGGGAGTTAGGCACAAGACCCACACATCCCACGTGCTCAGGCAGGTGATCTGGGACCCTGGCACCTTGGGCACTGGCTGTGTGACCTTGGGCAAGCCCCTTGACCTCTATGAACTTCAGTTTCTACAGCTTCAAAATGGCCACCCAGCCATTAGCAGGGATCAAAAGAGATACCATGAAAATCATACCTGCCAGGTAGGCTAGGAGGATGCCTGTGACGACCATCAGCTGCACACAGGAGCCGAGCAGCCCCCGCACTGCAGGGTAGGCGATTTCAGAGATATATACCTGGTGGCAATGGAGAGAAAACTTTACTCGGTGCCCAAGAGTTCTTAAAACTGAAGAGCCGCAGCTATTCAGAGTTGAGGAGAACCTCAGTTGGGGCTGCTCCAAGCCAGCTGGGCCTCTGGTTGCAGGTCCCAGGTCGCCGAAGCCCTCCCCGTACCTCCCCACGTCTCCAAGTGATCAGCAGCAGGTGTTTTACAGGGGATTAAGGGTATATACGTGGCTGCTGTGTGTGTTTGTGGGGAGGTGGCACAGAGTTTTTCAAACTTTCATTTAATTGCATGACTAGCCTCAATAAATACAGCTTCTGATGCAGTAGGTCTAGGGTGGGCCCCAAGATTCTGCCTTTCAACTTGCTTCAGATGACACCCAGGCTGCCGGTCCAAGGACCACACTCTGAGCAGTGCTCTTGGAACCAGAACTCTGCCTCAGTTGCTACTAGTGACTGCTACTGCTTTCTCTGGGCTCGGGGGCCAGAAAGGTCTTACCCACACTTCTAGGTTATTCTATTACCTTATGCCGACGGCTAAGATGGGTGTGTTTTTGTCCAGTAACAAAACCCAAAACATGAAATCCAACTCCACTGCTGCCCAGAAAATGCGGGTAAAGGGAGTGGCAGGTGCAAAGGGATGACCAGGGAGGACTCACAGCCACTACTTTTAATGTCACCAGGTTGACGTGTGGGTAGTTGATCAAGCCCATGGCCAGCAGCAGTTCCCTGGTCACCCTACAATCTCAGCTGCCAGGGTCCAAGGCCTTCCAGGGCTATACATGCAGAGTCTCGGTCAGTCCCCACAACCAGTGCATGAGGCAATGCCCCACTTTACAGGGGAGGAAACTGAGGCACAGAGAGGTGCTCGGCCCCAGTGAGTGGCAGAGCCGGCACTGTCAGCCTGGACAGTGGTGGCTCAGGAGATGGGGAGAGGAGAGATACAGCAGCCGGAGGACTAGCTCCTGAGTAGTGAAGGGGAGCAGCAGAGCCCAGCAGCCTTTGCTGCCAGGACAAACCAGAAGAGAATTTTCCTAAGCTGTATTCAATGGTCTGAATGACAGTGGGAGATCTAAGATCTGCAGGCTTCTGTGACCATCCACAGATGGCATCTTATTTGTAGAGCAAGAGAGAGGCCTGGTGAAGTGGCACAGTCCTGGGTTCGAGTAATAAGTAGCTTTGCCACTGACTAGTTGTGGCTGGACAAAGGACTTCAGTTTCTGAAGCTCACTTCATCTGTAAACAAGGATAACGGCGGCTCCTTCCAAGGCCCGTTGCGGGGGTAAGGAAGATAAAGCTGGTAAGGGGAACCGTGCCAGGCACCCAGGAGGCCGCAGCCAGGGAGAAGCACGCTCCCAGGTCTGCTCCTTTTCTGTCCCAAGGCGCGAGGATGGGGGACACTCACCGGAGCTACAAGCGAGGCAATACCGCAGGCCACGCCGGTTAGGAGGCGGCCCCCGAGCAGCATCCACACGTTCTGGGCCGCGGTGATGACTGCAAAGCCGACCACGAAGGGCAGGGTGCAGAGCAGAAGGCTTAGCTTGCGCCCGGCGCGGTCCACGAGCCAGCCGCCCAGCACGCCCCCCGCCGCGGCTCCCAGGGTCACGATGGCCTGAGGGCGAGGCGACCGCAGGATGAAGAGGGGACGCCAGGGAGCCTCAGCCCAACCTCGCCCTCAATCCCAGCCCCAGCAGCAGCCTCAGCGAAAAGGGGATGGGGGTCCCAGGCTGGCGGCCCGCGGGGGAGGGTGAGCCCTGGCAGGAGAGCCGGGACGCACCCGGAGGAGGGTCTCAGTGCCCGCTCAAAGCAAGGTAAGGGCGGGGTCCCCTTGCGCGTGAGACGGGAGGAAGAGGGTCCCAGGCGGGCTGGAGGGTGAGCCCGAGGCCTCACCCCGAACCAGGAGGCGGCGGCGTCGTCGAGGCGCAGGGCCTGGGCCGCGGCGCGCCGCAGGCTCGGGATGGCGGGGGAGCTGTAGCCGAGCGCGAAGCCGAAGGTGAGCGGGCCCAGGGCGGCGGCGAAGGCGGCGAGGAAGACCCGGCGACTGAGAGGGGCGCTGCGGGGACAGGGCGGTTGGTGAGCGGCGCCGGCCTGGGCGCAGCAGAAGGGGCGAGGCCACTCCCTGGGCCTGAGTCGCCCCCCTACCCGCTCACCTGCCGCCGGGCGGCCCCAGGAGCGGCTGGGTCTCCTCCTGGTCCTCCGGCGTCATGTCTGCACCCAACGCCTGCTTGGTCAGCTCTGTTGCCTGAACTGTCACGGGTCCCGCGAGTGCAGCACGCACCCGCCTCTCACAGCAGAGCCGGCCAATGGGCGGGGAGGGTCTGCTCAGGGGCGGGATGGGAACGGCCAAAGGGAACGCAAGGCGGGGTTAGCGTCTGCGCTAGGAGCCACCCCCCCAAATCAAAGCCGACCAATGGGAGAAAAGAGCCGGTTGGTGTCGCTCACTGGAACCGCCCCCAGGACCTAGCTCGCCAATGTTTAGGTGGGGCGGAGTTTGTATCTGGGCCCGGACTATAACCATCCAATAGGAGTGTGGTGCGAACCCAGAGGCGGGATCAGAAAGCTGACTCAAGCTGAGCTGGCCAATGAAGGTGGAAGGCGGGGATTACATTTTCTCCTGGAGCCGCCTCTTAGTCTAGCTTCAACCAATGAGGTTAGCAGCAGGACGAAGGTGGAGCAGGTAGGTCGCGCACCCGACTTCCCGCCCCGACTCTGGGGAGCAGGCTGCCTGGGCTGCTCTGCAGTTCCTGCTCTGCGTTAACCGCTGCCCTGGGGCCTGGGTTGGAGGCACCCGGCCCAGATCAGCCCACTGAAACCGCAGGGAGGAATGTCTTCAAACGACTGTCTTGGGCCTCTCTCTTTCCTTTTGGAAGCTGGGCTGCTGGGGGCAGAGGCATGGCCCTGCGCGCTGCAATTCACCTCTGTGCCGGTCACTACTCGGGGCCCCCAGATTGCTGACGGCTACCAGCCAACAACCACTAGGACCTCCAGGTGCTAAGGACCTGTGTTGGGCACGGTCCTCGGTTATGCGACTGATCTGGGCTTAAATGGTGAGCCCCAGGCTCCCGGTTAAGTTACACTCACTTCATAGGTCATCTTAACTCTTGAATCTTCATCTTACCACCTGCCATCTTCCAGTCTCTTGCCGATGTTAACAGCTAACCTCTTCGCATACGCACCCAAGTCACTGCTGGAGGTACGATGTCAGGGCTCTGAAGAATCTTGCCATTTGTACCTGGCAAATGCACACTCTGTATGGGGCAGCTGAGGTGCAGTGCTGTGTAATTCTTGCAAGAACCAGGGCTATGAGAGTAAGAGATTTGGCTTCTAATCCCTCTCTGGGCCTCTGTTAACTCATCTGTAAGTGGGGATGACAATATCCACCTTCCGGGAAGGT